AGGAGCCCCTAGTAGCGTCCTTGTTCCTAGTAGCGATGCCAGGAGCCCCTAGTAGCGTCCTTGTTCCCAGTAAGTAGCGATGCCAGGAGCCCCTAGTAGCGTCCTTGTTCCTAGTAGCGATGCCAGGAGCCCTAGTAGCGTCCTTGTTCCTAGTAGCGATGCCAGGAGCCCTTAGTAACGTCTTTGTTCCTTAGTAGCGATGTCAGGAGCCCCTAGTAGGACTTGTTCCTAGTAGCGATGCCAGGAGCCCCTAGTTGCGCCCTTGCGATGCCAGGCCCCTAGTAGCGTCCTTGTTCCTAGTAGCGATGTGCGCAGATGCCAGGAGCCCCTAGTAGCGTCCTTGTTCCTAGTAGCGATGCCAAAAGCACTTCAGTACTTTGCTAGACAGAAGTGCTATACCGATGCAGCCAAATCCACACGTAAAGACCTTCGTAGCTGCCAAGACATTTTTGACCCAGACCTTTCCTCTTTGTTCCTTCGCCGCTCTCGTTTGCACCTCGATTCGACTATTCCGAACCGGATCTTTTTCGAATCCGTTCAAGTTGGGTGTAACTTGACTAATGACCGGCTTTATCGAGCTGAACTCGTTGCAGCACCGAATTGTCGGTTGTGCGATTGTGCAAAAGAAACCTGGGAACATCTCGTTCATCATTGCCCGGGTGTTGCGTCAGCGATCTCTAGACCTCCTGATCACGAATTCGGTCAACTTTCCCATGTTCGATTGTGTTCGCACCCAAGGAAGGTTGCTCTTTCACGACTCCGACTGTCCCCTGTTGGAGAGACATCGGGCTCATTCGATCCTGAACAGCTTGAATTCCTATGGACGGACGGTTCTGTCCAGTGGGGCAGCTACTTCTGGCTCGCCACTGGAGCCTATGCCATTGTTAACGCCCAGTTTCAAGTTGTTGAATCGGGAGGCGTCAACCACTGGAAACTTTCGGCCTACACAACTGAATTGTTTGCACTCCTTCGTGCTGTCAAACGTGCATCATGTCGCATTCATGTTCGTTCTGACTGCCAATCGATCGTTGACCAGTTCAATGACTTGTGCCGTACACTTCAGGTTGATCCAGGCTGGTCTCATCAAGCATGGTGGCATGAGCTGCGGTGCACTTTGACATTGCGCCTACTGGTTTGTACTACCCCGATCATTGTGTCATGGACTCCAAGCCATCTTCTCGAGCACCTTCCTCCTGCCCTCATTACTGAGGCAGCTGCACGGGAATGTGGATCATCATCACGTGACACTATTGCTAATCGGGTTGCTGACCATGAAGCTAAGCGCATTGCAACCGACCTTTCACCCATTCGACCTTCTGATCAAAAGATTGTTGAATGTGCGATCTTACGCCGACACGAATGGTTAGTTATGTTGAATTGGCTTTTGGTGACGACACAACCGTCCCCGACCTTCACCCAAGCAGCTCCAATCACGACAGACACGGCAGCCTCCGTCATTTCCCGTGTCCCTCAATGGTTGTGGGGAACGCCGCTCACCGATTTTTCCTGGAAGCCGAAGATTTTCACTCAGCAATCTCAACCTTCTCGATGGAGCTTCACTGAGGAGGATTGGCGTGATTTCCGATTGTTTCTACAAGGCCTTCGTTGGAAGGTAGATTCGGAAGCGTGTGTGGCTACGACTGAGCTTGCCTGTCTCTTTTGGTGGAGGGGCCACCGACATACCCAGCTTGCAGCCGGTACCCGGTACCAGTTTTTATCACCATTTGATCCTGGTGTTTCGTTCTATGCTCAAGCAAGCCATTCGCCTCGAGAATGCCCAGATACTTCCTGGCGACCTGGTTGCAACAACGAACAAATATAGCGGCTGTGCTTTTCCGAAAGGCATCGTTGCCGGAGCGGCCGTTCACATGACCGATGGTGAGCGGCTCAAATTGGTGCACCTTTTTGACAATGGCGCTGGAAGGGCACTTTGTACGTGGGATGTCGTACTACCGGTGCTTGATAATTAGTGTACATTTGTGACCACCTGTGTCCTTTTTCTTTTCACCTCCCATGCTCCAGAGAGGGCGTGGTGGCGAGACGCGTGGACCGATCGCGATGGTGTGCCAGGAGCCCCTAGTAGCGTCTTGCTCCTAGTAGCGATGCCAGGATCCCCTAGCAGCGTCCTTGTTCCTAGTAGCGATGCCAGGAGCCCCTAGTAGCGTCGTTCCTAGAACAATCTAGGCCTTGTCAAATTTGTCAACCAATCTATACAGTGATTCCCTAAATCATGTCCCGTCACAGCGTACTCACCAACCAATGGACCCAATGCTTGTTTGCTGCTGGGTCGCATCCCTCAACGGTTCACGAGGGTTGCATTTGGGTACCAGGTGAAGGCAGTGTCGCTGCAAGCGGCCCTGGCAAATGGCTGGCGATTTCAAGAAACTGCTTCCTGAAAAGTGCCGCCATTTATGACCTCCGCACATCCATTGGTTAGTAGATGAGTCAAGACCAAAAAAGAGGCCAAGAGGTGGTGTGATCCTGTAGGTGCAGGCTTCATGAGTAGAAGCCATTGAGACCCGTCTTGCTTCTTTCCACCCGGTTTCCGTTCCTCCATGGTGAGCAAGTCACCATTGCAAAGGTCCAATTCAACGATGCTGTTGGGAAGAGGAGCCTTGGCTGTGAAATCGTGCAGCTACTGAACTGCATTTCACGCTAAAGGCCAGAACTTTGGTTGAAAGGCTAGAAGAACGCTTCCTGTTGGAGATCATGACTCGTAAATTGTCATGTCGCAGGATACATCGAGACACTCTCAAAGTGCGTGGGCGAATCTGCCTAAGGGCCTAAGGGAACATCTTGGACAACCTTGTTTGAGGCGGTCAAGCTGGGTTCCGCAACATCTTTTGGTTCTTTGGCCGCGTTCTTGGCCGCAGCGTTGCGGGCCATGATTAGGCTCCAGTGAAACGGGAACAATGTTTCATGACATCTACAACAAGCCACTGGCTGGGTTTTCATTTGCCTGGCGGATGGTCTTGAGCTTCAAAAGGTAGTCCTTGCTCTCGTCAGGTAGGCTGGCAATGAACGCGAAGGAGTGCGTCCTCACTGCCTCTTCGATGTGCACCATGGAGTTTGTCACCCAAGTTGGGCAATCACCCAATCCTGCTTGGAGAGTTGCTGCCTGTCGAAGGACCGACCGCCGCAAGACATCGTCCATGTAGTTCAGGACGAAGCTCGCGCCCAAGGTCGCTAGCTCCTCTTCCGCGAACTCCGAAATGTGCCTTCCAGCATGCGGCTTTGCACAAAAAAAGTTAGAGCACAATTTTAGCACATCATTTTCTACCATTTATCAGTAATATCAAAACTATAAACTTGCATCAGGGCTTCACCCCTCTGCACAAACACATCATGCTTGATACCCGCCATCCTGGTGAGAAGCTGCGTCAGCATCTCAAGGCACCTTCGATTTGCCTTGCAAGGCACACCCCCACAAATGGGGGGGACAAAGCCTTTGGTGGGTGTTTGCTGGCTGTCTACCTACTTAGCTGACTCTTTCAGATCACAGGCCACAGGTCATGATGCAAAGCCAAGCTTACGGATGTTTACAAGGGTTCATTTCGAGCTCATCCTGACACCCTGCTGCCGAAGTCACTGTGCAGTTGCTGCCGCTGGCCCCGCGTTTGGCGCTGATGCCCACCTCCTGAAGATGACCCAAAGCCCCGCAAATCGGGGTCAGCATGGACGGACTGAAGCTGCCACCATCCCGCCTGGAAGTTTACATGCATGCATGCTCTGTATAATATGATGACACTGGCATCGCCAAAGCCAACATAAGAGCCTTAAGAATCGAAATGAATCAGGATCCACTTCTCTCAATGCCTGAAAAGAACCAACAGCTGGGCTAGAAGCATGTCGAGGTAGGTCTGCTCCTGCACAGCCAGAAGCTAAGGTTCTACGTCCTTCGGGCTTTGAATTTATGGGACGCTACCCAAATCTCCTGCACCTCTGCATAAGCCATCAGCTTCAAGCAATTCATCAAAGGCGCAAAGCCCAAAGAGCCCATTTGGGCAGAAAGGTTTCCCAACAAAGACTCTGCACAGGCCAGCGCGTCTGACTCTGTTTGGGGCTTTGGTCCAGCTAGCATCAATTCCTAAGTTGCTCTGGTGATTTGCCACGCAACGCTATATGATATATTTAAGAAAAAAACTTATACATGTTGCACAACCACGTATATTGTGGTTGTTAACTCTTTATCGTTTTACAATGTTTGGAAATCTTTGTGCAGCCCCTTATCGTTTCCCAGCCAGCCAAATATGTCCCTGCCTCAACTGCAAGCAAGTCGGTTTCTGATGTGTGTGTGTGTGTACATGTGTGCGTGCAGGACTGTGTGAGCAGTATGTGAGTATGTGCATTGCTTTGGGTGGATTTTTCTTTCCAACGATTGCTGTCAAGCTCTTTCCTTGCCAACCATTCTTCAAAAACTTCAGCATGGCATGTTTTTCAGTCGCAGGAGCACTGACCACAAGCACGCCACATGCTCTGGTGATGCAGTGGGGGCGACATAATGTGCACATGTTTTATTAGGAATTGGATTCGTCTCTAGTCTTTTTCTAATTCACATGCCCACCAACCAGCCCTCCCAGACTTCACCCCACCAACCCTTTCTGATTGGGATGCGCAAGTCCTAGCCTGCTCCTAGTGTGATACACCAGGCGCTCTTCCACATTAATAGTTTGGTGCTGCTTTGCAAAGACTCGTGAAAAGCTGCGAATTTGCAGTCATTGCGCGTACATGGGACATGGTCTTCCCGAGGGTTTTTTCGTGTATTTGTGTCATCGTTTCTGTTATCGTTTTGCTATCGTTTTGGAACCCCAAGTATTCACCCAGTTTGGTGGCCTTTTGAACATAGTATTTTCCGTGTCCGCTACCATGCTACCGCTACCACTGCAACCCTGTGACTCGGACGTGTAGACATCTTTCGTATGAGAAAGGTCGCCTAAAGGACACCTGAATCACAACTAAACTGAACTTGCCTCACCATGCTCACGACATTCTCATGTACTGTATTGCATGTGTTATATTTTTATATTGTTTTTACAGTAACTCTTGCCAGAACGGGACCACTCATTACATGTTTCCTTGGTCGGTTCTTTTCTACATCATATGAGTTAGCGTTCAAACTAATTGTTCGCGATGTATGCATTGACAATTTAGGACATCCCCTATCGCTTTTTCAGGGTTTGGGTCTTTCCACATCTTTGTGGCACCCCAAGCCCCAAGCAAGAAACCTATATAAAGCCCGCAGGGTGTCAACAAGGTGCTTGTGTTCCTGTTCTCTTTGCAGGATAGCAACGCAGGTTTGCTGTTCCCAAGTGTGCGTGTGGGGATCTTGTCATTTGGCTTTAAAAGGTACCTTGTGAGGTATTGTTGGGGTATCGATGAAATCGCACTTATATACATGAAAGCAAAAACGGCTCCGCACTCTTTGCCGAGCTCTTTCCGTGATCAATACCAAGCTGAATGGATCCTCCGTGCGCAAAGCCAGATCTTCCCATCTCACTGGCTGCAATGCAAGTTTGGGGGGCTTCGCTTTTAGGACGTCCCCTGTTGTTTTTCGAGGGGAACACAAAAGACACATCAGCATCAAACATCCGAGCTAAACCTACACGACAATAGTCTTGTCTCTGACTCATTGTGGGACAAGCAAAGGGCCCAACATGGTCCAACTTTCAACAGGTCACGGCACCAGTGCCACACCAACATGCCTCAAATGCAGTTCCAAGTCACCACAGCTCTCACCAAACTCTCTGTGTCCAAGCGATGTGAATGTCTTGCTAGGGACTTGTAGGCTGCAAGCTTTTCGTCACCCGCAAGACATTCCACCGCATCTTGTGGCAAAACCGTGGTTAACTCTACGTCGTGGCAGTCAACCGCCGGCTTCTTCCGCTGCAGTCGTGCTTTACGATGTTGGCGTCGAGCATCCCATTGACTGTCACTCCTTGTCTGGAATTTCGGGAAGCGTCTGGACGCCAGGAAGCAAAAGAATACTAAAAAACTCTGGAAAATCACAGCAACCTGGCTGTATTGCTGTGTGTGTGTGCATCTAGTTGTTGCGCCAATCCAGAATCGAGGAGCGGGCATGGAGGGAAATCTGCTTCGTCCACAATATTCTCTCCAGCCACCCCCCTCTGCAGCAGTGCAATCCGCTCCTTGCGTGTAGCGATTCCGTTCGGATCTGTGGCCTCCTCCAGTTCTACTCCCTGCAAATGTTCATGGAGGGCGTGAGCTGCATGGAGCGCCAGCTGAGCAGAATCCTGTCTTTGAGATCTTTAAGCTTCCTAACTACCCATCGTCAAGGCGTCAAAATAGGATCAATAATTAAGATGAACCGATGCGGCATATGCGTGTCCAGTCTATCAAACCAAATTAGATCATCAAATCAAACCATTTTGCTTTTGTCGCCTCAAAGACCTCCTCTTCCGTCTCTCCACTGGTTTGGCACCGGCTTGGTTGGCCATGACTTTCTTGGCTTTCCATCGCTTGTGACATCTCTTGTGCCTCGAGAAGTGCCTCTTCTCGTTCAAGCAGTCGAATCCGTTCCCTGCGACTCATGGACGTCACATCCTTTGTTCCCTTCTTGCCCTGGCACGGCAAGGGCCTTCACTTCAAAAAACAGTGCCCTTTTTTTCTGAGAGCAAAGAACTTTTGAAGTGCGTCGGCGTAAGAGCCGATAGTGTCCTGTCCTGGTTGACCCGGTTGAACCCAGTTGATCCAATTGACCCGATCGACTTTGTTTGATGGCAAGTGTGGTAGTGGTAGTGGTAGTGGTAGTCGTAGTAGTCGCGCTAGCCTTCGTGGCCGTCGTAGTAGTAGTAGTAGTAGCAGCAGCAGCAGTAGTAGTAGAAAGTGGAAAGTAGTAAGTAGTAAGTAGTAAATAGTAGCAGTAAATGGTAAAAGTAAATGGTAGTAGTAAGTAGTAAGTAGTAAGACTAAGTAGTAAGTAGTAAATAGTAAGTAGTAAGCAGTAAGTAGCAGTCGTCGTCGTCGTCGTCACAGCAGCAGCAGCAGCAGCAGCAGCAGGAGGAGGAGGAGGAGTATGTAGTAGTAGTAGTAGTAGTAGTAGTAGTAGTAGTAGTAGTAGTAAACGTCGTCGTCGTGGTGTTGGTGGTGTTCGGCCAATTGGGCCAACTGGGCGAACTGAGTTCTGAGTTTTAGCATGGCCGCCTGGCCCCGTATGCGGCTGCAATGAATTGAAGATTTTGTGGTTATTTTTCACGCCGCTGCCTAGTCATGTCCCAAATGTCATTGTGAAACAAATGCCTGGAATCTGCGGGCGCCTGTGGCCTGTCTTGGACCTGGACGTCGCTTTGATCTTGCTGTTGGTCTGACACCTTGCTTGGAGGCGTCGGGGTGGCTTCTGCAGGCGCTGCTTCGACAGGAACTTCGTGACTGCTGGGCAAGTCAAAGGCCTGGTGAAGTGTGAGATTGAGGAAGAAGAGGGGCCGCAGGCAATACCGCAGGTTGAATTCTTTGATCACGAGAGCAGGTGGCAAAAGGATCAAACTAAATAGAAAATTTTGTTTTCCCTACAACTGCCTACCCCAACCTGAACAACAGTCAACGCCACCTGCGCAGGAAAAAAGGATTCCCACATGGCGTTGAGCTCTGGGTCATCCT